TTTTTCCCATAGTTCTACTTTTAGGGCTCATTCACACGTGCAGCAGCCCTTGATGCCCCTTTGAAAAGCTAACCCCACTAGATAGCTTTTCAGAAGTGTTGAGGAGGAGACTGAAAGAGTGAATGTATTATTCCAGTAATGAACAGATAAAACAAACAGTTTGCACCCATGGAAAATGATACATCCATTATAGGTGTATGTATGTGTTATGTGTTTACATTTCCACATTAAGAGAACATGTAAAACCCCAATTGTAGACTATTACTAGGTGAACTTCAGACAAACATCTATACAAAAGTGTTTCACCTGCCATATTTCTAACTTTCCAGTTTAGAGGTTTACAAAGCCGTACCAGACAGCAGAGCTAGGAGGATGACATCACTTTCTTAGTTATGGTTGCAGACTATAGAAGGGACACAGCGATGTCCTGGGCAGCACAGTGGCTAAATGGCTAGCACTTCCGCCTGGCAGTACTAGGGTCGATGGTTCTAATCCCAACCATGGCACCACCTGCCTGCAGTTTGCACACTCTCCCTGTGCTTGCGTGGGTTTCCTCTGGGTACTCTGGTTTCCTCCCACACTCCAAAGACATGCTGGTAGGTGAATTGGCTCCTGTCTAAATTGGCCCTAGTATGTGTATGAATGTAAGTTAGGGGCCTTAGATTGTGCGGCCCTTGAGGGTTAGGGACGGATGTGAATGTACAATAAATATGTAAAGTGCTGCGTAAATTGACAGCGTTATAAAAGTACCTTTAAAAATAATAGTAATGTCCTCTCTCCATCCCAGGCTCCTGAATGGACAATGAATGAGCAGCAGGAGACTAATAAAGACATCTCAATGCTCACGATTTCTATCAGCACATTCCATGTCAGTACATTTGCAGCAGTATGACGAAAAAGTCACGTGACAGCGTGATGTAACGCGTAGGATGCGAGTGTGGTGACGTACTTCTGGCGCGGACGCCATCTTGCTGCACCCAATGAGCTCCCATGCAAGTACACCTTTAGCATGAGGTCTTTTGACAAGCTTGTTATAATCTTACTAAATGTGAGTTGGCATTTGGCGGTGCTGTATTTGAGAGTCCCTATTAAAATGGATTTACACTATGGGGGGTTTCTTTTTATCTTTATCCTATCTGTGAGTTGGTAGCTGGCTGCTTTATACTGGAGGGGACCTGGCTGTTCCTAGTGAGGGGATATCATCTACCTGAGCAGGTGTCCATTACCAGTGAAGATTCCTGGCTTCAAATAACATAAGCGTTTTGGCCCTTTGAGGGTCGCATCAAGGAGGTGAGGGGGAATTTTAGCCACATACGGATTATTTCCATCGGTGGTGATGCACATCCACAATATCACCTGCACTTAGGAGTAATTGGAAAGTTTTTGGTGCATATGCACCTATTTGGACTTGGTTATTTTAAGTTTTTTTTATTTTTTCATTTTTGTTTTTTTTTTTATGTTTACAGACTATTATATGTTCACTTATTTTTTTATTTTGATGTGTCTGCTCATAAATATACTTTTTGTATGTGTGTTTTTTGGCACTATTGTATTTAATTGATCCCACATTTATGGATCTATTTTATGTTACTATTTACTTTTTGCTTAATTTAGCCTTTATTTGTCACAATCTGCATGATATTGTTGATCCCTGTTAGGGGTTCACATTCTCATTTTCACCATCATTTGCATGAATTTATTGATCCCTATTTAGGGATTCACGCTTATTTGTGTTTTATTTTATTTTGTGTATGATCCGATTTTGGATAGTGGGTGTATTGGTTCCTGGTTTTTTATACCAGGTGTGATCACTTTTTCACTTGAGATCCCAGAGAGGATCAATCCACTGATTTATTGGCACGTATATATATTTTATGTCACTTAATATTGAGATCCCCAGAGAGGATCAAACCACTGATTTTTTTATCACATATATATATTTATGTCACTTTGTTTGTTTTTGCCATATTGTATTATTTTATTATTAGGGTATCATTTTGGTTTCGTTGGTGTGACTAACTGACTCCCTGTCCTGCTCCTCCCTCTCCCAGTTTGTGCCCTTCTGTTTCGGGGATTGCTACTTGGCTGTTACCCGGTCAATTTCTATGATGTAATTAGCTCTTTTTATATTCACCACCTTTAGAATGTAGGAGAAATTCCAAAAATATACTCACAATTGTTTTATTTAGAAGGCACACACCATACTCCTGAGGTATTAATAAAGTATTAATAAGTGTTTATTTCAGAACCAATGACAATCCCCGCTGAACAGAGACAAGTGAGAGGGAAATCTAATTGTGCAGGTGTGATAAACAATGTATTAGTCAGAGTGTGCTGCAGGGGAGGTTAGTATTCAGTTAACATCTAATCAAAAGACAAAGTGAAAGAGCGGCTAACATGCTTCAATATATGATTTCATTTCACACACCGCAGGCTGAGTCTCACAGTGATTAACAAAGATGTTTTGTACTGTTGTGTTAATTCACTTCCCAAATAAAATACCTACTTTGAATGCAGTAGCAGAAGAAAAAGGAAGAAATCAACCATATTGATATTTACTTAAAGTGGTTGTAAGGCTGCTTTCACACCGGTCCATTTTTTATTCCACTTTTCCGTTAAAAAAAGCAGAACAAAACGTGTGACCATGTAATCCTATCCAACTCTTCACACTGACCCGTTTTCCATGCACATTCTTATTTAAATGCATGGAAAACGTGGCAAAAAATGCATAAAAAAATATACACCCGCATTGCATTTTGTCCTGTGTAAAATGCACCAAAAACATGGTAAAATTGTGGTAAAAACGCACATGCGTTTTTGCTACTGATCAGTGTGAAAGTATCCTAGAGGCTGAAGGTTTGTTTACGCATTGAAGGTAAAAGACCTTCTGTGTGCAGCTCCCCCCAAACTCAATACTCACCTGAGCCCACACAATGTGCACAGGAGCCTCATCTGTCCCGATTGTCTCTCTCCTCATTGGTGGAGGGTGGGGCCGAGCCAAGGCTCTATGTGTTTCACAGACATATAGAGCTGGGCTCGGGAGCAAGCATGTACCAGTCCCACCATAGCAAGCAGCTTGCTACTGGGGGCACTAGTCAAGTGGGAGGAGCCAGAAGCACCGGTGGGGGACCCGAGAGGAGGTTCGGGGCCATCCTGTGCAATTCTATTGAGTATGACTTTTTTTTTCTTTTTTTAAACAAACCTTTAACCTCCCTGGCGGTATTCCCGAGTGTAGCTCAGGGTAAAGTTTCAGTACCACAAGAGGTAACCACGAGCTACACTCGGGCTTACCATGCGGCGCTGCTCCAGGATCTGTTCTTCACTTACCTTGTCCTGCGCTCCCGCGATGTCCCTGGCAATGTAATCAGGCGGATGCCGGCATCTGTCATCTGGGTTCCGTTCCCTGCGAGTGTCGGGATGTACAGGGGGACAGAACGGCAGGAAATTTGAAAATGACAAAAGGTGACATTCACTAAAATCACATAGTATAACATTACTGTATCAAACCATTTCACATACATTTTGTCCCGAGTGCTTTGTCCTGTGCCCTGCCTGCATTTGTACTGTTCTTTCTGCCTGGAAACCGAGAAACGTCCATGGTGTCCAAAAAAGCGTCCCTTTAGGTCAAAAGCGGTTTTAGACCAACTAGAGAACAGCGATAGTAAATTAGAACCACTTGCAGAATTGAGTGATAATGATTCGTGGGGAAATTCGTCATCAGACACTGAAAACGATTTTGCGACTTTGCGCAGTGATGTGCTAACTTGGCGTTATATTTCACATTTCAGTGTTTTTGGTTTGATTATAATATTGAATTAAATTTATTATTATTATTATACAGTATTTATATAGCACCAAAGGGTATGCTCAGCGCTGTACAGTAGCAAGGGGGACAGAACATGAGACAAGACAGTAACAATACACTACACGAGGGGTTCGAGGGCCCTGCTCTTCCGAGCGTAACCATCTTATATTATTATTTTTTATGATTATTTATTAAATTATAATTTATGGTTTCATGTTTCAAGTTTTATCCTACCCGGGATGTTTACTAGACTCTTGTTCAGACAGATTTCAGTGAGTTATTCCTAAAAATTACAGGCCTACAATAAAAAAAAAAAAAAAAACATATTTCCATGCATAAAAATGTACCGCTTTGAGCACAGAAATATGGACATAATCAGACCGCTAGGGAGGTTAATATCACTTTAAAGCATAATTCCACCTTCCCGGTGAACATAGCATTTACTGTTAACCTCCTCGGCGGTATGATTCTTTCCGATTTTTTGTAATGAAAGCGGTACCATTTTTTTGCATGGAAATATGTAGTTTTTTATTGTAGGCTGTAATTTTTAGGAATAACTCACTGAAATCTGTCCGAACAAGTGTCTAGTACACATCCCGGGGATGATAAAATTTGAAACACGAAATCATAAATTATAATTTAATAAATAATCATAAAAAAATAATATAATAATAAATTTAATTCAATAATATAATCAAACCAAAAACACTGAAATTTGAAATACAGAGGCAAATTCGCACATCGCTGAGCAAAGTCGCAAAATCGTTTTCAGTGTCTGACAAATTTCCCCACAAATCATTATCACTCAATATTTTGCATTCTTATTCATATTTGCATTCTTATTCTAGGTTGCTGGTTTAGAAAAGATTTAAACAGTGAGATCAGCATTTTCAGGAGAAAAGTTCAGCAATGGCAGTAAAGGTTAACGAAGACAGTTTGGTCACGCAGTCACACAGCTCAATCACCCTGAGCTTCAAACACAGCTATATTGTCATAGGCTCAATCCACAAACCACACTTGCACACCACGAATAAGGAATATATTTTCCAAAAGTGACATTTATTTTCAGCTGAGCCCAATGAGTTTTGAAAATAACCGTCACTTAGATAAAATACAGATCCTTGTCCTTGTGTTAAAGCTTTGTAAATTGAGCATTATGAATCTTATGGGAAACCAAAGTAAAAAACCAACTGACCATTTGAGAAGCAGCTGACCCCAACATCCCAATATCTTCTCTGGACATTCTTTGGAAACGTCACCGGAGCCACTCCAGAGTTCACTGTCACTTTCTACAAAAGAAATGATTATGTTATACAGATATTATCATATTTATTTTATTAAAATGGTTCAAGGGAACTCATAGCTTTACAAACTTAAGACTCAATTTTCAAAGCTTTAACACTATGGTAAAGATTTTTTATTTTTAGCCATGTGACTAATTTTCCAACCTAATTTTCTCTAAAAAAATGGCTTGAAAATAATGTTCACCTGTCAAAATACAGACCCCTATCTTAATGTGTTAGCTTTGTGAATGAGCCCTTATGCCCTCACGGGGAACTCGCATAGCTCTTGCACCACACAGTGACTAGTAGATCTAGTAGCTGGTTCACAATGATGTGGTGCGGGAAACCACATGCGATTCAGAAAGGAATAGTACCGCATTCCTGTAAAGATCACATGCGATTCTTTGCACTGCAATCTGAGCCCATTCATTTTGTATGGCTCAAATTGCACCTCACCTGCACAAAAAAGTGCATGCACCTTTTTTTGCCACACTGGAATCGAAGCTCATGCGATCCAATTCAACCATTCGCACTGCCCTTTGCAAATTGTTTTTGGGGTGACATTAACTTAAAGTGTTACTAAACCCACAACAGTAAAATCAGTCTGTATATGCAGTAAAGCGTGCTTGTTATACTCACTGTAGAACCTAAGGGGTTAATCCTCTGCATGGTGTAAAAATGTTCTTCCAGTGTCCCCCTCTTATCTCCTGATAAGACATATGTGTGGAGTCACTCTTAACATGCTGAATTTGGAGTGTATTGCTAGAAAGGTTTTTTTTTTTTTTCTTGGGAGAGTGCATGTAATCAGCACAGGGCCAATCAGGACTGTCCAGACAGATGTCAGGAGTTCTGCATCCTCCTAGAGCAAAATTAAAACTCCTATAATCTGTAACCTGTGCTCGGCTGGATACTGATAGAAGTCACAAGACTGCTCTAACTGTTGATGAGTATACTTCCATGTTCTGTGCACTGTGGGAGACCAGATATAGTGAATACAGGGTCCTGGGTTTAGTAACACATAACAAAGATACCCGCAACAGTTCCCATTAACGGAGTGCGCATGTGATGCGGTGCGGGAAACGCACAGGAATTGCTGCGAAACCCGCACTGCATCAGTGTTAACTGGGGCTAAGGGAGATTGTATAGTCAGACTATAAAGTGTATCATCAGCCATAGCATACTTTCCATGGGAGAAAGCAAAAAAGTCACTTACCTTCTTCTGGGTCCTCCTCTTCCTGTGGAGACATAACTCCACTTGTGCTTGTTGGGCTGGTAGGAGCCTCAGCGATTTCTGACTGCCGCTGCAAGCTCAAAACTTCATAGATTGCATCGCCAGCCCCTTTACTCCCAGACTAAAGAAATACAGAGAAAATTGCGTGTAAAAAAAAAAAAGTATGAAATGCATTTTTAAAAAGCAAATAGTTGGTGAAAAAAGTATATAATAAGAACATTGGATTCAACAATGTTTTTTTATAGTTCGTAATGTCAGATGTGTTTAGATCAGCAAGTATACCTGACTGACAGTTTTGTTTTTGCAGCTGGTTGGGCTGTCATGGGGCAGCACAGTGGCTAAATGGTTAGCACTTCCGCCTGGCAGTACTAGGGTCATTGGTTCGAATCCCAGCCACGGCACCACCTGCCTGGAGTATGCATGTTCTCCCTGTGCCTGCGTGGGTTTCCTCCGGGTACTCCAGTTTCCTCCCACACTCCAAAGACATGCTGGTAGGTTAATTGGATCCTGTCTAAATTGCCCTAATATGTGTATGTATGAATCTGAGTTAGGGACCTTAGATTGTACACCCCTTGAGGGTTAGGGACTGATGTGAATGTACAATATATATGTGTAAAGCGCTGCGTAAATTGACAGCACTATATAAGTACCTGAAATAAATAAATAAATAAAATATGCAGATCAGCTAAACTCCTATGCAGACAGACAAAACCATTTGTCACCTTCATCAAGGCAGGCCCTAGATGAAGGTGATTGGAAGTCAGTGAAAGCTGTGCCATTAAAAGTACAAATTAAGTCAGCCACACAGTTTACAATGTGGTTATACAATTTCTGCAAAATCCCATTTTAGCTGACCATACACGTTACCATCTGACTGTACAATCACCTTTAGATTTACTGATAATTTCCTGATGCAGGGGCCTACTACATTTTCCAAAGTCCAAAAGTGAATGCATGAAAACTGTACATTTAGATTATAATGTGTGTGGTTGGTTTTAGAATTACCAAAATGCAATGTATGACATCATTTTAGTGCCCAGGACCCCTGGTGCTTTGTACAGCCACCCACAGACATGAATGGGTGAAGCTGGCTGTATGCTATTCGCAACTCTCTTCATAAAGAGGTTTATGCGCACAGATGTAATGTCCTGAATGCAGATAGTTTGTGTTCGAGACAATACGTCTGTGCGCATGCATCCATTTAAGTATCTGTGTACAGCTGTCCTCACCCATTCATGTCTATGGGCGGCTGTACACAGCAACAGGCTCTCCTGGGCACTAAAATACGATCGTATCGTTTACGCTTTACAGGCAAATGCACTAATGTGCGTGAGCCCTAAGGAGCACCCTGAGCAACCCATTTAATTTGTATCCAATAATAATAATACACAATTGATGAGAGAACTAAAGGAGATTGTACAATCAGATTGTATGTACTGCATAAGTTACAGTCCATAAGCAGTACATAAATGCCAAGTCTGATGTACTCCTAGAAAAGTTTATTTTCTGAAAGTGGAACTGAGTTATTTTAAAGCCAAAACCTTTTTTTTTATATTTTGGATAGATTAGACAAGGTGACAGTGTGTCTAAGGATTGGTTCACATGTGTGGCAGTGCTTGTGCTCCTCTGAAAAGCGATCTGTGTTGGACCACATTTCAGAGATGTTTGACATGCAGTTAGGAAGCAATATGTTAGCTCTTCATTGTCTGTTTTAGCCCTCAAAATACCGACCCATCGTGTTGCAACCAGGAACAAGGAAGTACAGTTGCAGAATGGCCCGATTCACTTGGGTCAGCAGTGCCGCCGTTTTGCCATGGCTGTGGCATAGGTACAGCCCGAAGCAGCTGTACTACTGTGTATACATGGGCAATCAGAAGGAAGTAAAGCTGTGGCTCAACCACCTGCTTTTACTGCCCCTCTGGCCACCCATGTGAATAAGCCCTTAGAAACCAAGAAAACAGACAAGCCTAAAACAAGAATAGAGAGGTATACCAGATTTACAAATATAAACATACGGTTTACAAACAGCTGACAGAATTGTTCTGAAAAGTGTTTATCAAAGTGATTGAAAACCTTTCTTTTTTAATTAAAATAATAAACATGTCATACTTACCTTCTCTGTGCAAGGGTATTGCACAGAGCGGCCCTGATTCTAGGGTCCCCGCCGGGACTCTCAGCTCCTCCTCTTCTGCTTTTGCTCCCACATAGCAAGCACCTTACTATAGGGGCACCCATGAGGGCATGCTCCCGAGCCGGGCTGTGTGCATCCACAAACACACACGGCGTGGCTCGGACTGCGGTTTGTTCTGCACGCCTGTGACCCATGTTTAGCCGACAGCTGGCTGAAGCTCGTTATCAGCTGACAACACAGAGCTGGTTCAGGCTGGGGAAAAATCCTGACAATATGATCGGGATCCACCTAGGAGCCTGGACCGGAACCTGGCTCAGCCTCTCAACAATCTGCTAAGAGCCTGAGCCAGTTGCTCCTGCCCCTTAACTGCCCAGTGGTCCAGTGATCCCGGAGCGGGGAGGATGGACGACAGTCAACAGCTCTCTGTCCACGGAGCACTGAGAACTTAGCGATCAGTGGTCTTTGATCGTTTATTGCTCAGTATTATTAGAGACGGTGGGGGATCGATGCTGCATCCACCTAGGTAAGTATGATTTCTACAAAAAAAAAAAAACACCCACATCCTCCCCCTCTCCTTACATCTGTAAGAAAAAAATCTGTATGCTTTCCTATTTTCATGCCTGGGAGTGGGGATGTCACCCGCTCTATGACCCATCCATTGTCAGTGCTCCCTCCTCTCCTCTGCAACCGTCATTAACTGACACCGGGGAGCTGGATCACATGACTGGATCGACCTAAAGTATACAGATCTTTCTTACATGGGTTACTCAGAATATGTGTTAGGAGGGGAAAGGGAGCATTTTTAAGACTATTATTATATAGGATTTATACAGCACCAACAGTTTGCGCAGCGCTGTACAATAGTAAATAGTACAACAGTACAATCAAAATACATTTCAGTACAGAAGGAATAGGAGGGCCCTGTTCATGGAGCTTACAATCTAAAGGACTAGTTAGGCTTTTGCCTGGAATTCTACCTTGAGACCCAATCAAGCCATTCAGAACAGGGGACACTAACTAGCAGAAATATAAATTCCTTCGAATACTCTTTCTAAGCCTTTTCAAAACCAAAAGCTTGTTATTCTTTATTAATATATAGCAATAGCGCACAGATACAGCCCGAGTACCCTGATTATATTTTCTACACAATGTATACTACAAACTGAGCATTTGAAAGAGATCTTGCCTATTATGTGAGTGTTAACATAAGAGCTGGATAGCAGGTTGCCAATAATAATGGGAACCTTTGTACAAAAACAAACCTACAGATCATTTGATATGTGAAAGCAGATTCCCTCCACATTAACACTTGATCTGAAGCTGCAAGCTGTGCTTATTTGAAATGTTTGTGTAAAAAGAAGGACATGATCACATCAAAGGTAAAAAAAAAAGGAAACCATGTGCCTGACTCTATGCAACAAGATGAGAAAGAACTATTAAAGCTCCACGTACCTGTTTCAGCTTTAAATAGAAGGTCTCTGTGAAGGTTTTGCGGCTGAAATACCAGAATCGCTCGTTTGTGGGGTACACCCGGACCACAGTCTCCAGCAGAAACCGGACAGGCTCTACCACCTCCGTTACCACCATGTCTACAGCAACTGTCATGTACACTCGTTTATCTGAGGGAAAGGGTGTAAAAAGGGAGCCACCATGAATCGTGCACTTTAAGGTGTATGGCAACTCATACAGTACATGTCTCCCATTGGTCCCTCGTGGTCTGTGAAGGGAGAAGTACAGCCCAAGCTCTTTTGGCTGTACTTTTCCTGTGGATTATAGGAGTGCGGTTTGTTCTGCACTCCTGTGACCCGTTTTCAGTTGACAGCGGACTGAAGACTGCTGTCGGCTGACATCACTCATCCGGTAGAAGCTGGGGAAAGATCCCGACTTTAAAGTCGGGATTCACCCCAGAGTCTGCAGTGGCACCTGGCTCACCCGAGAGCCTGAGTCAGCACCTCCTTCCCCCTCCACAGCCCAGCGCTTCAGAAAGCAAGGGGGAATAAGGGGCAGAGCAGACAGAGGTGACTGACAGTCACCACTCTCTGCTCTTAGTGGCTGTTGGAACTCAGAGATTAGCAATCATGTGATTGCCGAGTCCTCACACTTAGAGCCGGCAGGGGGGACAGATGTTGCATCGGACCTGTAAGTATAATGTAAAAAAAAAAAAAACAATTCCACACTTCTCTTTTAAACACACCACTGAAAGTTTTATATGTGTTCGATAGGGGTAAAAAAATACCTGTTGATCCTGCCAGAAATCCAGTGATACAAGTCCTGTTCCATTTACTACATTTTCCATGTACTACAAAGAATGGGGTGCACTTCCCTTCCTAGGGACAATGTTGTTCCTCCACAGATACAGTACAGTGAATGAATAATGTCACCCTAGTACAGGGAATGTGTTGCTGGCAGGATCACACAGTAAAAAATAAAAAGAAAGTGAACACAGCCACCTCCCAGCCACTAGTAAGCTTCAATGGGCAATAGGTTACATTTTTATTCTTTGGTTTAGATTCACTTTAAATTACCACATTAAATCCCAATAAAAACACAAATTTATCATCTGAAACAGTGATATGCATATACAAACAATATAACTGAATTCTCAAATGAGATGTTGAAACAGTTGTTGAAACGGAGACTTTGACGTTACACTTAAACTCTCATTCGCTCTGCTAAGGCCATATACTAGAGCAGCCTTTTTCAACCAGGGTGCCTTGACGCTTCTAAAGGGGTGTCTTGGCAAAATGCCTAAAAACTGCCCACAAATTTAATACAACCCAGCAGAGGGATCAAGTCTACCTTTTAGTTACAACAAAGCCATAGTTTTTATTGTGCACCACAACAACCTTCTAGCCGCCGGTGTCCTAACAACCAATGACACCATCAGTTGATATGGAGGATGTCGGTCGCCTGCACGGCATCCTTGTTTGACCCTCCCCTGCCCCTCTCTGTCAGTAATGGGGGCAAATTAGCTGAGTGATAGAAAGAAACTAGGAGGGAAACATTGGAATACTATTCAGTATCAGTGTGCAAAAGTGTATTCACTTTGGAAGAAGAAATTCACTCTAACACTGGGTGTCCTCCATGTGTGGATGTTGCTGCGTTAGATAAAACTATTAGAATAGTTTTTTACATTTTAGAATGGGGTGCCTTGAGACTCCATATTTTTAAAGGGTGCCTCAAGATTGTTCAAAACTTTAATGTGGGTGCCTTGACTGGAAAAAGGTTGAGAAACAAAACAGAGCAAGGATCACCAAACTTTTCAATACAAAGGCCATACTGTATATTTTACAGATACAGTTGTGCTCAAAAGTTTGCATACCCCTAGAGAGTATACAGTATGTACCATTTTTAAAGAAAACATGAGTGATCAGGCAAAATACATTTCTTTAATTTCTTAAGGGATTCGTATTAAGCTGTAGGTCAATGGCCCAATCAGGAAACAAAACATGGCAACAAGTAAATAAATGAAATGACCCCTGTTCAAAAGTCTGCATACCCTTAGTTTTTAATACTGTGTATTGCCCCCTCTGGCATCAATGACAGTGTGCAGTCTTTTGTAATAGTTGTCTATGAGGCCCCAAATTCTTGGAGGTGGTATAGCTGCCAATTCTTCCTGACAAAATGCCTTCAGGTCATGCAAAGTCGATGCTTGTCTTGCATGAACCACACACTTGAGATCTCCCTAGAGATGATATTAAGGTCAGGAGACTGTGATGGTCATTCCAGAACCTTCACCCTTTTCTGCTGTAAACGCTGGAGAGTCAACTTGGCTTTCTGCTTAGGGTCAATGTTTTGCTCGAAGGTCAAAGAGCGTCCCATACACAGCTTTTATGCAGAAGAATGAAAACTGTCTGCCAGTATTTTCTGAAAACATGCTGCATTCATCTTGCCATCCATTTTCACAAGATTCCCCATGCCTTTAGAGCTCACACACCACCAAAATCATCAGTGAACCACCATCATGCTTCACAGTGGAGATGATATTCTTGTTAGGCCATGTTGGGCCTTCTCCAAATGTAACGTTTATGGTTGTGACCATAAAGCTCTATTTTGGTCTCGTCACTCCAGATTACAGCATGCCAGAAGCTGGGCTTTTTGTGGCATTGGCGCTGTAAAGGTGCCTTTCTGGCAACTTGACCATGCAAGCTCATTTTTGTTCAGGTATTGTCATACTGTGCTACTTGGAGCAACCACACCATTTTTTTCCAGAGCAGCCGGTATTTCTCCTGAGGTTACCTGTGGGTTTTTCTTTATATCCCGAACAATTCTTCTGGCAGTTGTGGCTGTAATCTTTCTTGGTCTACCTGTCCTTGGCTTGGTATCAAGAGATCCCCCAATTTTCCAGTTCTTAATAAGTGATTGAATGGTACTGACTGGCATATTCAAGGCTTTGGAAATCTTTTTATATCCTTTTCCATCTTTTGAAACGTTCCACTACCAGGTCTTTTGACAATTCTTTTCTGCTCCCCCTGCTCAGTGTATCCATGTGAGAGCTAACAAACTCATTTAATATTTATACACAGACACTAATTGCAATTTAAAAAGTCGCAGATGTGGAAAATTAACCTTTAATTGCCATTTTAACCTGTGTGTGTCACCTTATGTGTCTGTACTAAGGCCACACATTCCAAGGTATGTAAACTTTTGATCAGGGCCATTGGGTGATTTCTGATACCATTATGATAAAAAGGAGCTGAAAAACTATGTGATAATAAATGGCTTCATATGATCACTATCGTTAAAGTGTTAATAAATCTACAACAGTAAAATCAGTCTGTATATGCAGTAAAAGTATGCTTGTTATACTCTGTGTGGAACCTAAGGGGTTAATCCTCTGAATTGTGCAAAAAAAAAAAAAAAAAAAAAAAAAAAACTTGTTTGATTCTGACTTCTCTGATCCTCCCCTTCTTCTACTGTCCCCAATCCATCTGCTGCTAGTATAGAGTCCTAGGAGGCACTCTGCACATGCTCAGTTTAGTGTGTATAGCTAGAGAGGTCTTTTTTCTTTGGTGCATGTGATCAGCACAGGGTCAATCAGCACTGTCCAGACAGAGGATCAGGGCTCATTCAGCCTCATAGGACAGTCCAAACAGAATGAAAACTCCTCCTTCAAGCTTTAACTAGTGCTCAGCTGGACACTGATAGAAGTCAAAAGACTGATATATACTGCTGATGAGAAAGGTATTTAGAAGTTTATATTTACTGCAATAACTGCATTTCCATGTTGTGTGTATTGTGGGAGACCAGATATCGTAAATGCAAGGTCATGGGTTTAGTAACACTTTAAATAAAAAACAGTTTTTTGGCATGATCAGTTATATTTTCAATATCAATGCCAAAATATCACAATATTTGCCAGGGTATGCAAACGTTTGAGCACAACTGTATTCACAGCACCAAAAAAAAAATCCCCATTAGGAGGACCCTTTACATCAGGATCCCTATCATAGTACCCGTACGTCAGGGTCCCCACCAGAGTTCCCCAAACATCACAGCCCCCATCAGAGTCCCCCTTACATTAGAGTTCCCATTTACATCAGGGTCTCCATCGGAGTCCTCCTTACATTATGGTCACCCCTTATACTGGGGTTACCATTAGAGTCCCCTCTTACATCAGGGTCCCCATAAAAGTCACCCTTACATCAGATCCCCTGGGCAGGTTGGTTGGTTTCAAGTGGAGAACATGGCCAGTGTCTACTGACCTTAATCCCCAATCTGTGCACACTGAGGACACACCACTGACCCAATGCCCATGGGCCATAGTTTGGAGACCCACTCTACAGTAGATCAATGTGCAGAACCACCAAAGTAAGTATAAAATTATTCAATATATGTTAGCAGAACGTTTCTTGGGGTGTTACCCTATTCTTTTGTCATTCACAAACATTTGTTTGAAAATACTGTTCAGTATCTTGTATAACAACTAACACTTAGTTAACGCAAAACACTGGGAACCCCCAGAGAAAAGAATCAACTATAAAGATTGGATTGAGTCTATTCATCAGAACTCTGTACACAAGGCACACTCGGCGTGTTCTGTCTTCTGTCACATGAAATCGTACCTTTCGAAGTTTCCTCATTGAGTGCTTGAAATGCAGGGACGTTTGGGTTCCACATGCCTGTGATCACATATGCTTTACCATCGCTGCTCTTCCCCATGGACTCCTGCAACGGTACAGAGCAGAAAATTGCATTGTTAACAAGAACGAGAAATGTATAAAAAGCTGCAGAGAACACAGAACACACTCGCAGGAAACACTACAAACATTTTTTTTAACCGGTTCATTTCTGGGGCAATTTTTAAAATCTTTCACGCACATGTTAAAATCAGCATTTCTTTTCCAAAAAATACTTAAAAGCCCCAAATAATTGAATATTTTCGAAAGTTTAAATTTTTTATGTTGTATGATATTTATGTAACTGTTCATTCAACACAGATCTTTGGAAAAAAATCCAACAAAATGAATTTTAGCCCACACAAACACGTTAACAATTTTTTTTGTAGAATAAAAAAGATGGGGTTGCATCGAGTAAACAGATATTAAAAATGTTAATACTCATGATTGTACGTGCTCATGAAACAGCAAAACACTACAGTGCCCATAATTATTACAGGTTATCAACTCAGAGATAACCATGAATTCCTTCCTTCTCTCAGTCTGATGTTCGCAGTGATACCTCACATGTATGAGGTAATATCTGCTTAATTACATGTGCGGGTTCTACATGCATGTTTGCATTTGTGTATGCGCATAGAGGGGACGGGGGTCCTTTCAATTTTTTTTCCTTGATTTTATTATTTTACCTAAAGCAGTATTAAACCCAAAAGCAAACATTTATATATTGCAGCCTACCAATTCTTGGATGTAATGGCTGCATTCGGTTTCTTCTTTAGGCTTTCTTCTATTTTCACCTGGTGATCCAGCCAACAAGTCTGTTGTTTTTCAGAAGCATGAGCTCTTCAGAAGAATATATCAGCTTACATTGTTGAGAAAAGCCACTTAACACTGGCAGGGCTGATTACAATGATCAGCTTTTATTTATTCATGTAAAAGCTTTATCCCAAAAAGGAAAAAAATGGTTTGCTGTAATTGCTTATAAAGTGTTATAGCTGCAGTTTGTCTTCCATTTGTTTAGTGTATTTAAATCTACTAGTACATTTAACAACGCTCCCCTCCCACCAGACTGACAATGCTGTTGTCTGATGTGCCTTCTGTGCTCCTTTATCCAGAGTGGGGGCACTCTAATACAGGTGTATTACTGGCCAGATCACCAGGTAAAACAGACAGATGTGGTGGCTGCATTACTTTTCTTGTTTCCCTAATAATTGGTAAGCTGCAATTTATGACATTTTTAGTTTTGGGTTTATTATCGCTTCAACTTTATAGCCATCACATGGGGGCTAAATAAGCCCTGGATTTAATAGCATGGGCAGGCAACAGGTTCTTTCTATGGAGAACATCAGGAGTCTCATTAACCCCCCTCCCTTGTCCACCTTGCCTTCCACTACAGCTAATCAAGCACAGATCATGCTTGATCATGGGGAAGGAGTTAAACCAAATCCTCATTGCTTCCAGCTTCATTACTCACAGAGGAGATTAAAGTGATTGTAAACTCTATTTTTTAATCTTTTTAAAATAAAAAACAGGTTTACACTTACCTGCTCTGTGCAAAGGAAATTCACAGAGCGGCCCCGAACCTCCTCTTCTCGGGTCCCCTACTGATGCCCCTGGCTCCTCCACCTCCAATGTTGGCACACCTGCAAGATCGATCCCTTGCCGTGCTGCCTGTGTCTATAGACACAGACACTGCTGCTCGGCCCGGCTCCTGCTCCCTGACAGCATTGGGAGCCAAGCCTGTGAGAGCGGGGAGAAGGGAGAGAGCCGCTGCAGATGAGCCCAAAACTGGAATAAATGCATTAAAGTAAAATTTATAATGTAGTAATGTTTAGGCATATAAATCAGATTTGCAGATCATTGTGTTCTGCTTTTATGGAGGTTTTACATAGTGTCCAAACTTTTTTGTAATTGGGGTTTTTTATATACGGTGTGTATATACACTCACAGGCCACTGTATTAGGTGAACCTTGCTAGCACCGGGTCGCACCCCCTTTTGCTTTCAGAACTTAATTCTTCCTGGCATAGATTCAACAAGGTGTTGGAAATATTCATAAGAGATTTTGGTCCATATTGACATGAGTTACTGTTGCCTTTCCATCATCTCAAACCAGTCTGCCCATTCTCCTCTGACCTCTGACATCAACAAGGCATTTTCATCCTCACAACTTCTGCTCACTGGATATTTTCTCTTTTTCGGACCAATTCTGTAAACCCTAGAAATGGTTGTGCATGAAAATCCCAGTAGATCAGCAATTTTTAAAATACTCAGACCAGCCCGTCTGGCACCAACAACCATGCCACGTTCAAAGGTCATAATTCCCCTTTCTTCCCTATTCTGCTGCTCGGTTTGAACTTCAGCAAGTTGTCTTCGCCACATCTAGATATCTTAATGCATTGAGGAGCTGCCATGTGATTGGCTGATTATCAATCTGCAATTTGTGTTACCAAGCAGTTGAACAGGTGTACCTAATAAAGAGGCTGGTGTGTGTGTTATATATGTATTTAGAATGTATATATTGTGTGTGCTCGTGTATTTTAATAATAAATATTATATATATATATATATATATATATATATATATATATATATTATGTGTGTGTATTTATTTTGTATAGTGTGTGTGCAAAACTGAAGGGACTCTTTTTTTAAATGGCCATTAACATTCAATGTACCACCCAAGCCATGAACAAGATAACCTTTTCTTAAGGCAAATAGTGTGCATATCTAGTTTACAACTGATAATGAGGTCTGCCAACACGGACAAGGTTAATTAGCATTAACAACACAGGCCTCTTCTTAACATTACATAGAAGAGGAAAGCCAAAGAGGATAAAGTAAAAAAGTAAGTAATAATTTGTAAATCTATATATTTAAGTTAAGCTATGTGAATGTGAACATATAGGAAATATAAAGTAAGTGACCATACTCGACTGATATGGCGCCGCTCAAATCCTCCTGCATACTATCCTACCGGCTCTCTCTCAGCTCCAGGTCCCGGCCCTTCAAGGTGCATGTCCTGCTCCATCCATCAACAGCAATACAAACCCTGAGCCGAACTCCACGAGTATCAACCACATCTCAAAGTGAAAGTAATATCCTTGGTAGGCCTCTTTCACATGGGTGGTTGTTCTGCTGCTTGTAAATGCATGGTTTTTTTTTTTCATTTTTGAATTCCAACACTCCTGGCATAGAGATCACTTGTGTTTATCAGCGATTACATGTGGCTGCGTTTAACTGCGGTAGTAAATTCTTGCCTTTTCTATAGCAACTGTTTACTTATTTTCTTTGTACTGCGATTAACTGCGTTCATGTACAAGTAGCTGGGGTGCATCGCTTCTGGACGCTGCCAATTTTATTTTTCCTAAATGCGTAAAATCGTATGTTAGGAAAACATTGCTAAACTCAGCATGTGAATGGAGCCATAGGAATGCATTGTCTGCATTTAGATGCGGTAAATACGTTTCTCTAACCGCAGATAAAAGCTGAAATCTAACCGCCCGTGTGAAATGGGCCTTAACAGTCCCTTTTGGCTTTGGTTTCAAGGTCTAAAAATTCAGCAGCTGACCAAATGCTGATTTTCATGTACCTTTCCCTAGAAACATAATAGAAATTGGTAAAGAGACCCTGTCATTGACCGGGATAACCAATGCATGTAGCTAGAGGTGCACATACAGTACCTGCAGTAGTATCCCAAAGCCTTTGGTTGTCGGAATCTCAGGCTGTTCTGACAGCCAAGATTTTGGCAAATTTTGATGAAGCGTTCATACCCCTTTATGCCTCCTGCATAAAGGGGTATGAGTTCAGTAAGGTTGCCCAACTTAGGCAGGCCATAGACAGGTCGTTTATCGGCTGAATTTTCGTCCGCACGAAAAATCGGCCAATAATCACGCCGTGAGTGGGCCCAGCCCGTCAGCCGTTTTTCACGGATCTCATTTATTTTTATCGGTCATGCTGGAAAATCCACAAAAAACGGCTGTTTTTCGTGGACATGGGTGGCAGCATCGGCAACGGAGGCGATCGATTTTTTGTTTATTGGCCGAAAATTCAGCCGATAAACGGCCCTTCTATGGCCTGCCTTAGGGATGGACCAATAAGAATATGTGGAAATTGGGCTTAGAATCAAGTGCCAAAACTGCCCAATAGTGTCAAAGCTTTGCCTGTCAAATTGGATCAGCATTCCAAAGTGAGAAGCAGGTTTGAGATCTCTAAATGCCCCACTTCCTACTTGTAGCAATATTAAAATCCCCTTGGTGTATTCACATTAGCACTTTATTGTTAATATCAGACTGAAAAAATTGGACATGCTGTGTTTGTGATCTGAGCTTAATCTTTAGAGCTCTGTAAGCAGGCTTCTTTTTTCTGCAAAGCAGTTAAGATTAGCTTGGTAATCATATGAAAATGAGCCTACAGTTCCACCTACTGGATGGAAACAGGTAACTGGAAATCTTCCACAAATAATATTTCAAATTTATCAGACTACAGATATTTTTTTTAATCCTGAACATAGTACATGTATAGAAATCATAGTTTTACAAAAACCCTTTACATTACTGCAGCTAAGTGATGTGGAAGTATTTCTACAACAAACAGATTTTAAATATAGTATGTTAAGAAGAAAGGTTTTGAATGAATCCTGAAGATCACCCAAAATCTGTAGAGTGCACTTCACATGTCAAACTAGTATTAGCATGTAGTGTATTGCCCTCTAGTGGTCCCATGTAGCACTGCATGTGTGCCTGCAAATGTGAAAAAATTGTTACACTATGGATGATTTGTTAGACCATTCTTATCCTGGGATGGAGCTAAAATAGCTGCTGGTAAGATTCATAGGCCAGGAGGCCATTTATGTGCAGGAAAATATTTCACACTTGAATAAACTGAACTTTAGCTGCTGAAATGTAAAAAAAAAAAAAAAAAAAAAGTATATATATCTTTTAGTTTAATACTTTTGTGCCGGAGGTCAATTTTAACAGCGTCAGCAAGTCCCCATTAACTCTAGGAATAATTTTTATACCTACATAATTTTTAGATTTTATTTTTAAAAAACATATTATTTGATAAACTGTTAAAAGCCCAATCGAATCCTCTGTCTTAATCGGCTAAAAACATTCAAGATGCCATTAAAATGGCTGTGCAAAATCTTAAGCTTTTTTTCTTTATAAATCAGCCACAGCCTGAGAAGAAAAGCCTGTCCTCTGCCAGCATGCTGCAGAGTGGGACCCTTGTTCTCTGTGGGGAAGTTGTGGAGGTCAGACATGCCCCCCTATTGAGTCACAGCCAGACCTCTCCAATCAGCAGGGAGCATGATTGCAGCACTATAGGTCGACTCAACAGGGAACATGCCAGACCTCTGTGATGTGATCACTCTGTACCTGCTCACAGGAACAGGCTTTACTACTCGGGCTGTGGATGCTTTAGAAAGAAAACAAACCTTAAGGGCCAGTTCACACTACAAAAATGCACTCTGGATACGTTTTTGCTTACACCACATGCAGTTCCGGTGCAGTTTGCCATGTTCCAGTATGGTTCTGTGCAGAAAAAAATGTAGCATGTTCTACTTTTTTTTTCTGTACTGGAACGGACTGCACTAGTGTGAACTAGGGCCATTAGAATACATGGAAAACACTGTACATGCAGTTTTGATGCAGAAAAAAACCGCACTGAACTGCATCTAGTGTGAACTAGCCCTAAGAGCCAGTTCACACCACAGAAATGCAGTCTGGATGCGTTTTTGCATGCACATTTTTTATGCATTGTTTACGTATTCTAGTGCGTTTTTGATGTGTGCTGATGCATTCTAGATCCTTTTTTGGATCATTTACCACGTTTCCAGTATGGTTCTGTGCAGAAAAAAAGCAGTACATTCTACTTTTCTTTTCTGGAACTGTTATGCAAGCACTGGTGTGAACCATGCCATTGAAACCATGTAACCTACTTTCTGTGTGTATTGAATGCAGAGGCAAAAAAACCCCACTGGAACGCATGCAGTGTGAACTTTTGTTTAGATGCACCTGGAATATAAATAGCAAATTTAAAATGAAGGTTTAATTACTCTTTGACTAAAAACCATGTTCGGTTTTTATTATAGGCTTACAAATGCATAAACTATTTTTTTTTAAAAAATCAGTTTTAATTAATTTCTTTGTATTTGGTCTTTATACTGCAATCTGACAATTCAAGAAATAAACCTATAACACTGCATCAGTGCAAAGCTATAGGTCCTCTTTTAAGACCCCCCCCCCCCCCCCCCTTCCTTCTACTGATATTGATCTTCCATATACTATCCTTTTACTTAGTAGGATATGCAGCGCACAACCTCTTCCCAGGGTGGAGTGCCACAGACCTGAGTTCCCCATCAGCAGATCTGAACACTGTCACCTGCGGAGGAGAAGAAGAAGCTCTGACGCCATTTGACGCTAAGAATAACCAAAGTTTGGACTCATAGGCCAAAATGATACAGTTTCTGCCTATTATAACATGTCAGGAAGGAATTAGTACAGAATTGTAAATTCCATGCCCCTACAATGAAACAAAAACCATGATCTTCCATAACACAATAAATGACAATAGAATATTTACCATATCAAGAAGATGCATGTCACTGTTCTTAACATTTCTGCCAGGACTGAGAAGCATCCCAAAACACCTGTTACAAGGAGAGAAAAACAAATACCATGATTATTCCTCAATGTACCGCAAATATATAGAAGTTATTCAAATCAAAATGAAAGACAATAACAGCTATTCCTGCAAAGCAGAAAGTAAATGGTTAACTCTTTCACTGCCCTCAGAAAACATCTGATGATTTAGAAATGGACACTTGTGGAACCATCAAACTCTTGTGTCTGTCACTGCTCTGTGTGGTTCCCCCCCAGCACCGAATCCAAGTGTGTCCTGGATGGACGTGGTGGTTAGTGGGACAGTACACCGAGAACAGTAAAGGACACAGGCGTTCAACATTCCCGGCGGCATTGGACTCTAAGGAGACTTGAAGCTGAACTCTGGGAATTAGGCCTCGTTCATTCAGGCGTCCTACGGCTTACACCTATGGAAGGGCCGGGTTTGCTCGCACGGGAATGCACAGCTGTTTTGTGCATCCACATACAAAGCAGTCCCATTCATGTCAATTGGGATTCAGCAGCTGCACAGACACAGCCATTGCTCCCTATATGAAAGCCATGTGGGTGTACAACCGTATAAACGTCAAAACCTACCCTTGTAGTATCCCCCCCCTATACACTGCAAGGGTTACATGTTCATTTAATCCTGGGGTGTAAGGATAAGGTGGATCATGTACCCCCATCCCTTGGTTTAGCATTGTTCTCTTCTACCAGTAGCTCTGAGCTGTGAGCAATCCCTCAGCCTCGTCAAATACAAAACAAGGCAATTACACTACACTAGACTTTGAAAAGGTTGGACAGTGCAAGACCGATCGCTTGGATGGAGAAAGCCTTCTGGAGCCAGGAGTAAGGCAAGTATTACACCTTATCCCTGCACCAAGCATTTAACCCTTCTTATGTGGGGGGAGGGGGTGGGTACAGCATTCATAGTTAGTCCGGCGGAAAACAAAAGACAAAATCCATCCAGTTCAACCATTAAAAAAAAAAAAAAAGTTATAATCCTATACCCACAGTTGATCCAGAGGAAGGCAAAAAAACCCAGCAAAGTGCGATCCAATTTGCTCCTGCAGGGAAAAAATTCCTTCCTGATCCCCCGAAAGGCAATCGGATATTCCCTGGATCAACTTTACCTATAAATGTAGAGGATTTCTCTTCATCACAGCGGTGTTCAATGGTAGAGTAGCAGCTGTAGAGATAAGGGTTGTTTACCGTCTATTATTTTACATTTGATTATTGCAGCAGGGTGACAAACCTTGCAAAAATGTGGGTGCTGCCATTGCTGACCTCCTGCTGGAAATAGTCGTTGCCTGGGTGTCATACAGATCTAATGATCACCATACTTTCTGAGTTAAAGTAGAACTATAGGCAAAACTTTTTTTTTTTTTATTTTGGATATAGCAGGAGAGGATTATAATCCTTGTCAGAACTTTTTTTTCGCCATCATTTGTCCAATTGCGGAGATTTCCCTTCACTTCCTGCCACATAGCCAAACAGGAAGTGAGAGGAAACCCCTGCAAATTAAAGGGAATTCCTTGGGGTCCCCCAGGTCACAAGAACTAGCGTTCCCATTGAAAGATCTCCCCTCTATTACTTTTCCGTGGACAACCCAAAGTTTGGGATTTTCTGTTTCTTTCACTTTCAATGATAATAGTAAACAGGACAAATAGAGAGGGTGAATCTCCTTAATGAGGGTACATAGTTACATAGTTAGTCTGGCTGAAAAAAGACAAAAGTCCATCCAGTTCAATCATTAAAAAAAAAAAAAAAAAAAAAAAGTTATATTCCTATACCCACAGTTGATCCAGAGGAAGGGAAAAAAAACCGAGCAAAGCATGATCCAATTTGCTCCTGCAGGGAAAAAAATTCTTTCCTGATCCGCCGAGAGCCAAATCGGATATTCCCTGGATCAAAATTTGACTATTTTTCTAGTTTTGGATAGAGAGGAAATGGATTAGAACCCCTGTTAGTTTTTGTTGCTGTCTGTTAGACTTTAATGGCCTCAAATGTGTATGAACCTGTACTGGACTAGTGGCACGGTATTGAAGTATGACATCAAAAGTAGTCTCTAAACTACTCGAAGAGAGGTTTCCCTTAAATTATAGGCTTCTCTTAAAAGTTGACTTGAGTTTTGGGCAGTTTGCTGGATATCTGAATACTAGGGTTTGAAAACCTGTAGTAGGGATTCTTTTTGACACCTTACATGTTTATGCAGTTTTATTCTATTCATCAGGTTTGGCAAATTCTGGAGCCATCTCCAAAAAATAAGAAGCCAGCAACATTACAGCTTCTGTTCTGTTGTAGCAAGCAACCAAATTACAAGGAACGGCACAGACAGGAACACCATGAACAGGACCTCTCAGTTGATTTACAAAGCCAAGAGGTGACCAGCATCCATCTATAACTGAAAACCTAGTTTTGGATGCTTCAACTACCTCCTGAAGCTCCTTCCACAACACTGTACAGTAATGATATACCATTCTACATTCTATCACAATTATGCAGAAGGGGAGCAGAGTGTGGTATTAGCCGTCACTGGCTGATCCTCTCCAAAGCATTATTATTAATATGACAAATAAAATGTGAAACACAATAGCAAAGTGGGAATATGATACAAAATATAACACTTCAAAAAATATACACAAATATTTAAATCTTTTGACATAAGTCCACCAACTGAAAAATTTAAATTGTGATAATTGTGAAATATGAAAAAAAATAAATGAATAAGGACTTTGCACTTCATCACAATTTTCATTTTTCAGTTGGTGGACTTATGTCAAATGATTTAAATATTTGTGTATATTTTTTGAAGTGTTATATTTTGTATCATATTCCCCTTTTTGCTATTGTGTTTCCTCTCCAAAGCATTAATATTAACATAATGACAAATAAAATGTGAAACACAATAGCAAAGTGGGAATATGATACAAAATAGAACACTTCAAAAAATATATACACATTTAAATCATTTGATATAAGTCCAACTGAAAATTGAAAAATTATGATGAAGTGCAAAATCCTTATTGATTCATTTTTCATATTTCACAATTTTCATTTTTCAGTTGGTGGACTTATGTCAAATGATTTAAATATTTGTTTATATTTTTTGAAGTGTTTATATTTTGTATCATATTGCCACTTTGCTATTGTGTTTCACGTTTTTTTTTTTTGCGCTGCTTTTACTTGTCATTGTTTTATGAGGTGATTATTGGATTATTCACTATTAGGGCAGCTGCATGTTTACACATTTTATGTACTCATTTATTTATTTAGGTGAGTGATATATTGTGCGCTTTTTTCAGGTGTCAGGTCTTATAGATTTTCACATCACACTTGCGCGGTGAATATACGGTTTATAGATTGCTTGTAAAGATTAATATTAACCTGCGTGGGTTTCCTCCGGGTACTCCGGTTTCCTCCTACGCTCCAAAGACATGCTGGTAGGTTAATTGACTCCTGTCTAAATTGGCCCTAGTATGTGTATGTATGAATGTAAGTTAGGGACCTTAGATTGTACGCCCCTTGAGGGTTACGGACTGATGTGAATGTACAATATATATGTAAATTACTGTGTAAATTGATGGCGCTATATAAGTACATGAAATAAAATAAATATGCAAAAAACAGGGGTTGAAGGTTCAGGGTTAAGGAACTAAAATACCACCAGCAACCACGCTCCCACTTTCATGTGAACACTTAGAGGTCTGACAAAATAATGAGGAAATGTGCAGAACGGCCGCACCGCAGGCCCAGAAATAGGAAACCGATAACAACTATTTCAAAGCGTGACATTCTCAGTGTGGAACAGGAAATGAACAGAACATAATTGGGGTGAGGAGAGGATCAAGAACAAGCGAGCCGATGAAATGACAGAAGCGGCATTCCTTTGGCCAAATCAGATGGTTTGGAAACGGAGGCCAAGGGACAGAGAATAAAAACAGCGGTGTCACTCAAGTGGAGCTGCTGCGTGCAGGAATGACAAGGATATGAGCTGCATTCACCAGCCAAGGTTCACAATAGCAAGAAAAAACCCCAATAACAAACATTAACAGGAGACACAGAAAAACTATGACAGCGTTGTCAATATTTTTAAGTCGTATTCAGTAAAACATTTATTTTAAAGTGCTAACTCCTAAAGCCCAATTCCAGTACCTCCAACCCCTACCACCAGTCTTCCCCTCGAGCCCACAGCTAATTATTATATTCATTTTTTTCCTGCAGGTGTCTTCAGGCTGGGGACGTAAGGAGCGTGTCCTCTTTCTCCAGCAGTGGGCAGTCCTCCACCACACTGTCCTGTTAGCACAGGCTGCCATGATAACAAAACCCACAGGGGGAGTGTCTATGACACCATGGGGGTTATTTACTAAAGCTGGCTGTCGGCTGACGTCACTCAGCTGGTCCAGGCCCTGGAGAGATACCAAATTTTTAATATTGGTATCCACCCAGATGCCTGGAATGGCAGTCAGCTCAGCCTCACAGACCACGGCCAAGAGCCTGAGCCAGCCACTCCCACCTCCTCCACAGTACAGTGTTCCAGTGAGCCCTGGAGGGGCAGTGCAGTGAGCCGCTTAATGACAGTTACCGGTTCTCTGCTCACTGAAGACCGAGATCGGAGTGATCAGCAGTATTTGGTCGCTCAGTTCTTGGTTTTAGATGCGGCGGGGGGAAAGATCCAATCGGATGCTGCAACTACCTAGGTGAGTATGAGTGTTTTTTTTTTTGTTTTGTTTTTGTTTTTTTTTTAATTCTTAAAGTTCTCTTTTAAGAGCTGTAACCATCAGCAACCAAACAGAGTTCACTCTGCAAGTCAAACAAGATGGATTCTGATTAGCTGCTATAGGCAACTGAATTTAAAATCAACGTTAAGGCAAAATATACAATCAGTTTTTTTCTTCACCTTTAAATAACCAGAAAAACCTGGTGATCCTGCCAGTCATTTTCCTGTGAAAACATCCTTCTACATGGTCAACACTTTCCACAGATTTAGACCTGTATTGTCATTGACAGATATGCGCAGTTCAGCTAGCAAACAGGAACAGTAGGTCTGCCTGCAATTTCCTGCCTCTGTTGTCACAGGGTGTCTTCTAGCACAGTAAAGTTTGACAGCAGCCGCTGCTACTGGGAAACATTCTACTGCTTGCCCACCCCTTCTCTGCCATCAGCAAAACTTGCATTCTTGTTCTCGCACAATGCATCGTTTTTCTGTGAATGGAGGAAGAGCAATGAAATGAGAGGATCTTCCCTGGGACAACAGCAAGAATTTTGTGAATGGCCGAGATGACAGAAAGGGGACAGGCAAGCAGTGCAACTTTTCTCAGTAGCAGTGGCAGCTGTAAACCTTTGCAGCATCAGAAGACAACTACTCAGAACAATATCCAATGACTCTGAGACGCCAAAGCAAAGAACATCTGTAACAGAAGCAGCTGCCTGCAGGTAACGAGATACACAAATTGTCTTCTAACTACTAAGTCTCCTTTTATTAAGTGCTTAGCAAGCTGTTGGTGCTATATAAATCCTGAATAATACTAATTTTCTTCATATTAACCTGCAGCTATATTGTAGCCGTAGCTAAATTTTGTAACAATCAGTATTTTTTGCTAGAATCCCAAAACATTATAAAGCAGAGGCCCTAGAAAATAAATTGGTGGGTTTTGCAATTTTTATGTCACATGGTATTTTCACAGCAGTGTTTGAAATGCAATTTTTTGGTAAAAAAAATTCACTTTTTTTTATTTTAATACAAAAAACAATTCCTAACCCAATTTTGGCAAACTATAAAAGATGTTACACCAAGTAGATACCAAACAAATCATGCTTTAAAATTGCACACGCCCGTGCAATGGTGACAAACGACGTAAATTTTACTATCCATAGGCAATACTTTACAGGTTACCACTATAGATTTACAGAGGAGGTCTGGTGCTAGAATTACTGCCCATGATCTGACATTTGCGACGATACCGAACATGTGGGATGATTATTGTTTGTTTGTATGCGGGACCGACGCATGCAATCGCCATTACACGCAAGCACGGGGGGGATGGGGGCACTTTTTTTTTTTTTAACATTGTCGCTTTAACAAAAAATGTTTTAAATTACTTTTATTGCTGTCACAAGGAATGTAAACATCCTTTGTGACAGAAATAGGCATGTGACAGGTACTCTTTATGGAGGGATCTGGGGTCAATAGGACCTCAAATCCTTCCTTTGCTCTTAAAAGCATTTACTCTCACCAAGATCAGTGTGATTAAATGGTTTTCTTTTTTAGAAATGGCACCGTCTATTTCCAAGCAAACAGGAAGTGATGTAAGGTCATCGCTTCTGGGTTACTATATCATAAAGCCCAACAACGCCAATCTGGTCTTTGTTGGGCTCTATGATCAGCTGGCAGAAGTGCTGGCTGTTCGATCAGGACTTCCGGTGGGATAGGAGATCCCATTAAAGCAGAGGAAGTTGGCGGGAGGGGGGACGTACCCTCCGGCTGCTTTTATTAACAATTGAGCAGCTAGTTAGCCACTCAGATTGCTATTACAAGAGAGCCGACCGTCGGCTTTTAAAAAACGGTACAGCCGTAGGCATCATCTAGGTAAAACTACTTGAAGTTCAGTGACATACCAGGTAAATGAATGGTCGGCAAGTGAATACTCACCCTCCTCTGTGCAACCCTGCCACTCGGTTCACCCATGGTAGTGTAAAAGGCTAAACTATGAGAACACTAAACTGCTTCTGCTGTAAACTATACTGAAGGGCAGATGTTGGTCTTTTCTTCCTTTTTTTTTTTTTTTTCAAACAAATTTAGCCCAGGATGTGTTCACCCTTTTCTTCCCGTAACAGTCTTGTCCGTCTGTGGTGCAATTCTTACAATCCATTCTATGACAAGTCCAAAGCACCCAATTACTATGTCACAGATATGGAAATATCTGCTCTATGCCCTGTCAGACAAGTCTAACAAAAGCTGCAATGAAGCAAAACTTCAAAAGTTAACATTTAATTATCAATATTAAAATAATAACAGGGTGTCACATGAAAGGATTACCGGCAATGAGAGCAGGTATTAATGGATGGTGTCTATGAAGCTTTACACAAAGCGCTTTATCACAGCCAACATAATTATCATTATATAGATGGAATGAAGAATCTGCCTTATTGCCAACACAGGAACATTACAGAAACCAGGACATACCACACCGCAATCACTGCAGACCACCTTATTTCTAAAGGACCTACAGTCCATCCCACACTGACTGACAGCAGGGTTGTCAGGGACACAAAACTGGCAGAGGAGTGGGCAGGAAAAGACATGCAATCGTGTGCTGGCACCTGATTCTGGCAACCTTATAGGATAAATATTTGTAATTATAGCATTTAGCATATAAATTAATTTTATTTCACAGGCCTTTACTTCTTGTATATTATTCCCCAGCTTTACAGGCAGGCCAAGCTGTCCAGCAAACTATGATACTGATAGGGGCGTTTAAAACTAAACTTCGGCTTTAACTTCTTAGCTGGAGTGGAGCTTTAATTTCTTTCTTCCTTAACCCCTTCCCATTTAGCCCATGTACATAAACGGCCGGACGGGAGCAGTGCCGAAGCAGGTCGCCGTTTACAAAAGGCACCTGCATTCACTGCTGTGCGCACTCCCTGGGATCACCGGTTGCTGTACGGGACCTCTGTGTGAGGTCCCGATTCATTTGATCCCTGATTGGCCAATCAGTGATCACATGAATATTAGTAAGCAAGATGTCACTTTCTGACATCATTGCTTACTACTTGTGAAATCTGTGAATGATCACAGAGGTCACATGGTACAAGGCCATTCACAACAGCCTTGTACCATGTGACAAGCTGTGACCAATCACAGCTTGCACAGTATTTCTCATTGGCTGCAAAAATGCAGCCAGAGAGAAGGAGAAATGATTGCTTTTACAGCCTTTATTGGTATAAAAGCAATCAGTGTAAAAAAAAGAAAAAAAAAATATCTTCATCACCCCCCATAAGTAGTACAGTGTCACTATGGTGACACTACTGGTAGGGTGACTGTATGTAAAAAAAAATATATATATATATAAAAAAAAATAAAATAAAAATGTAAAAAAAAAAAACAAATTTTGAAAAATTATAACTTTTGGTTATACACTAATTTGGGTTATTTTTTTTTACTAAAAAGCTGAATACATTTTGGCCAAGATTTATAAAGAAAGATTATTTATTTGCAAAATTTTATAAGAAAAACACTTTTTTTTCAAAATGTTTGGACTTTTTCATTTATATAGCAAAAAAATAAAAATCCCAGTGGTTCATAAATACCACCAAAATAAAGTTTTATCGGTCTCAAAAAAAAACTCATATGGGTACAGTGTTGCATGACCGCGCAATTGTCATTCAAAATGTGATAGCGCTGAAAGCTGAAAATTGGCCTGGACAGGGTGTAAGTGTCCGGACTTGAAGTGGTTAAAGAGGAACTAGAGTTCAAAACATTGCAAACAGGCAGGCTCTTTATTGCAGAAGAGATATGCAATGTCTCTTCTGCAATAAAATATACTTACCTGTATGTTCACAAACCCTTGTAGAATAAACACTGTAGCTGGCTGAAGAAGGGAACCAGGTAGACGTTGGAGAGGAGATGTTGGCACCGGTGAGGACCATAGAACTGAGGTAAGTACTACAGCCTTCAACTAAATCCTATCTAAAACTATATGTCCATTTTAGAGTGCCTTCTCTACAGGATGACAAAAAACTGCAGTGATTTCACTACTACAGAACGCTGCCACCCTACACCAGGGGTAGGCAACCTGAGGCTCTCTAGCTGTTGTGGAACTACATTTCCCATGAGGCATTGTAACATTACAAAACTGACAGTTACAGATATGACTTGCAGAGGCATGATGGAACTTGTAGTCCTGCAACAGCTGGAGATCCGCAGGTTGCCTACCCCTGCCCTATATAGAAAGTGGAAACTAAACAGACATACAGGCAGGATCAACTAGTAATAAAGAAGTTGAGGGACTTGGCCTAGAAGGGCTAGCCCTGTAGAGTCCTGCTTTAGGCTCCATTCACACTTGGGCGCTTCAAATCGCGGGTGGAATCTGCCCACAATTTGAAAATGCTCTGGGAAAATGTGCTCTCCCATGTTCAGGTTCCATTCATTGCAATGGCATCTGAAAACACAGGGCTTCTTTGCCACGATCGCAGCGTGTTTTTCCGCAGAACGCGCAATGCCCAAAAACTATTCTGAATACTTTTTTGGGCGTCGCACGTCCCGCAATTTTGTTTGCGTTTGTCACGCGGAAAAATACGCCGAGATCACAGCAAAAATGCCCCTCATTTTCAGGTGCCATTGAAATCAATGGCACCTGAACATGCAATCGTGCGTTTTCACAGCGAGTTTTCAAATTGCGGGTAGAGTCACAGCGATTCCGCCTGCAATTTAAAACACCCTAGTGTGAATACTGTAGAGCCTTAAAGCATAAATTACCTTTTTCTAATAAAAACACAAAGTGAAAAGTAAAGAAACGCATTGCACAAATATTGTCCTCACCTCTCCGCCACCAGCTCCTTGTTTGACATCTGCTGGATTGTGATGACCACTTTCTTCTCAGTTCCCTGTCTGAGTTTGAAGAACAGTTTATCTCGATCTTTGGGTACAGGACTGCAGAAAGCAAAAAAAGAAAGAAAGAGGGAATGATTAAAACTACTAATTGCCAAGAATGAGTTCCTATTGTTCTATCAAATCAAAGCAACTAAAAAGGTGATCCTAGCATGTTTGGAAGTGAAATTCCAGTCAAAACATTTTAGTTCTAGGGTGGGGAATGTTAGGACTAAGCATTACAAAGCACAAAATGTATTAGCAGTCTCCCTTCTCTTGCTGCACTGAGGATGCACTTTTATACAGATGAAATAAAGAAGAAGGTTTTTACCAGAATGTGGTCATTCATATATATTTAGCTATGAATTCCAGGTATGGTTTTTTTGTTGCACAATTACATTGGTCCAGCTTGGACCAAAGTAAGTATACATATTCCATACCTGCTGTTACTATAGTGATCCTCACGGTCTTCTGGGTCCTGTATCAAGCGGCCGCCACGCTGCATAGTAACCACAGTAGTTCACTCGCTTGACAAGAGAGCCATTCAAAGGATGTCTTGCATTTTTCTCAGTGAGTACAAATTATTCTCTGATTGGATGAGGTGGAGAGGTGGGCAGTGATGTCAGTCTTGCATGGTTGTAGAGACTCCTCTCCTGTACTGAAAATGCATAGTCTGATTTGTCTGCACACTGTGAGCTTCTTAAAGTGTGCTTTAGAAGTTGCAGAAAGTCTGATACTATATTTCTTGGTAGGAGGATGTCCAGCATTATTTAGTCCTTTCTTCTCCAGCCTTAAAGTCCCTGGCCCACAACTTTCAAATATTGGATTATGCTTCTTTTAATCATGGAGGCTCAGCATCACATGTGGGGAGGTACCTACAACCATCCACATGGAAGTGCTGTCTGCCTAGGAACACCTACACCTTCAGACTAGCATCTACCCATCAAGGCATTCTGACACTTGCATAACTCCCATGATCCAACCCAATGCTTGCATCAGAGATGAATACTCTTGAGATTGGTACTGAAGCAGGTTGTTGTGATGTTTTAGGAAGACTCCTGTGAGGCTCCTCCACCAGTCATTCTCTTGCTGTGGAGCGCTATTGAAAAAAAATCAATGATAATAACTCATATACTATACAGTAAGCAGAGACAAAATAAATGCCACACGTGCTCTTTACATACCATGCATAAAGGTAGATGATCTATAGTCCTGTAGCCACTAAAGCGCTCATAATAACATATCAAATATACATGTGTAATAACATATGCTAGTCCCTGCACTTCACACTCCACAAGTGAGATTGGTGAGTGTGCAATAGTGACCAAAAAGAAACAATGAATTCCTTAATGAAACAGTTCATATATAATCGTGCTCCACTTAGAAATGAATTCATGCATCCCCCTTTCCCCCCTCTTTGCCCTTTCTAATCCCCCCTTAAATACAGTATAACTACCAAAGTTTCAATAAGGTCCACAAAAAGGAGCATACCTCTCATGTAACTGAGCCAAGACTTTGCAATGTACCTCGGCCAACTGGCAGGGTACCGCCACTCCATCTTCTCCTACCCATACAATGTTTGTATTAATTGTGAACCTCTTTATACCATTGTTTTCTGTTATTCTGTATGTTTCAAATTTTTCAATAAAAAAATATTTAAATAAGAAATGAATTCATGCAGGTGGTAACGCATGTGATATCCAGTGATGGTGGTAACACACTCCTCCTGTGGCTAAATTGCCCCCTCACCTTAACTCTGCGACCCAATGGGCCTTCTCGCCTCTAAGATCACAAAAGGATCTTACTCCAAGTGTAGGTAACCTCAGCGTACCTTCCGTGGACCCCTCAGCAGTGGATAAGTAATCAGGACACTCTGAGTGCTGCCAGCAACTAGGTGAGTCACTGATCATTAACCATGATGAGCGAGAGAGAAAAACTTTCCATAGTGTAGTATTCTTTGTAAAGTATAGATAAGTTAATTAGGTAGACAATGTTCACTCACATTCAGTAGTAATCACTTCCATAGACAACCGCATGCATAGGTGTACTGCATGAGTTCTGGCTTATCCAGGTGTAGTAAGATGGCAGCCGCACCGGATGTGCGTCACCGCGGATCGAACCGGAAGCTGCGTCACGGCATATCTACGCATTACGTCACGAGGTCTTGTGACTTCGTCAGGATAATTTCTAAGTGGAGCACGATTATATATGAACTGTTTCATTAAGGAATTCAGTGTTTCTTTTTGGTCACTATTGCACACTCACCAATCTCACTTGTGGAGTGTGAAGTGTGGGGACTAGCATATGTTATTACACATGTATATTGTATATGTTTATTATGAGCACTTTAGTGGCTACAAGACTATAGATCATCTACCTTTATGCATGTTATGTAAAGAGCACGTGTGGCATTTATTTTGTCTCTGCTTTACTGTATAGTATATGAGTTATCATTGATTTTTTCAATAGCGCTCCACTATATGATCTCTTTTGTTCTGCTTACTGTACAAGGTTCCAGTTTTGAGTGTGAGCAGCTTGGGACTGTAGGGACTCCATAAAGCGCAGGAGGATTATTTATTCATTCATTCTCTTGCTGTATTGCGTTGAGAAACACAGAGACCCAGTGATGACATCACAGGGTCTTAAATAGGGCATGACATGAAAAACACAGTTTAAAGTTCAGCTGTGAGAGTTTGCGATGCCACGTGCATTTCTACCCTGAGATTTCAGGTGGGACATTTAAAAGTACTCTAAGAACATGATGTAGGATGTAGTTGAGCGGCAGTGCCTTTAAGAAGAGGCTTCTGTGCAAGACGTGGGCCCAGGCAGATGTCTGGATTCTAGCTGGCACCCTGTTCTCTATTAATTTCAGAAAGAGGCACAATGTGCTTTTATAATCTTCTTTATAAAGAGCTCATTCTAAGATTCCCACATTGAAGTGCAACTTGACAGCGAAGCACTGAAACAAGGAAACATGTTGCAATGTGAATACAGCTGCTTATCCTTAATACACAAATAAGTGGCAAATAAAAGATCCTTTCTGAATAATCTATTTTTAAAGCCTTTCACAACATTTTTATGTGAGAGTAGAAACTGCAATTTTCCACCCAGGCCGGTGAATGCTGAGATGACAGCCATTGTAATCTGCCATTGTGACATTAGCATGTCGATTAAGGCACAGCTTTGGAAAGCCAGATAAAAAAAGATTGTACCGTCTCACTGACAGAATGGCTTTTCCAGCCCGGTTTCAGAAGCAGAAATGTAACCAGTAATGACAAAGTATAACAACAAAGTCAGACATTATGATCATTACACAGCACTACTCTTCAGGAAACACAGCGAAAAAAATAAGAGACATTCATACATTGAATTACATCAAGCTGGAATTTAAAACCACCTCCGTTCACAGCTACGTTTGGTGTGCAGGATTTAAAGTGGTAGGAAACTCAAAACTAAACCAAAAAAAAAAAAAAAAAAAAAAGTTTTCCCCTGCAAGCCAAAGGCGTAATGTACTAATATGCATGGCATACTAGCAAATTACCTAAAAACGAAGCCCTCCAGCAGTGCGATGTCACCGCTGAAGAGGCTTCCATTTCACCCATCTTCCTACCGGGTTCGCAGGCTACAGCCACTTGATCAGCCGAACCACAATGACGTCACTCCCATGCATGCATGTGGGAATCTCAGCCGCAGCATGCAACTCTGAAGGAAACCAAGTGGATTTATCTTCTTCAATCCTTAACACCAGGGGACCTTAACATTGAATTGGACATCGATTGCTTTATGAGCAATCAATAGACACACTATCCAGGGGAACTTCAAGCTGACAAAAGTTTATATAATTTTTATTGTGTATTTTTTTATTTAATTTCTTTTAGTTCAATCTATTTGTTTTAGTCTGTTTTCCTCATTTATAATGTTTTACATAATTGTATAATTTTATGGTTAAACTCAAATATCATCAAGATCTACAGTGAGGCAAAAAAGTATTTAGTCAGCCACCAATTGTGCAAGTTCTCCCACTCGTCAATTTACCAAAAAATGTCTACCATGGGAGGAAATAACTCAATATATCCTGATCAATACATACTAAAAATACTATTAAACATTACAAATCAATATAACACGTACAGTGGGGCAAAAAAGTTTTTAGTCAGCCACCAATTGTGCAAGTTCTCCCACTTAAAAAGATGAGAGAGGCCTGTAATTGGCATCATAGGTAGACCTCAACTATGAGAGACAAAATGAGAAAAAAAATCCAGACAATCACATTGGCTGATTTGGAAAGAATTTGCAAATTATGGTGTATTTTTAGTATGTATTGATCAGGATATATTGAGTTATTTCCTCCCATGGCTGACATTTTTTGGTAAATTGAGGAGTTTTTTCACCGGACTGATAGGCGAATAGCTCCTTAAGTGGGTGGACTTGGGGCGGTGACCAACCAATGCAAGCGATGTGTCGGATATATAAAGGGGAGTGCCGCACCGCACAGCCGTCCCTATGACTAAGTCAGAAGTGCTGAAACATGTAAGGGTGAGGCTATGCGGTGACCGGAAGTGTCGTTTGGGATCGGAATCAGAAGTGACGCGAAAGCGCCATTGTTTGGGATCCGGCGGTGGTGAAAGCACTGCTTTCAATCCACCACACTACCATACATATTATCTAAAGGTGTGTTTTTATCAGTTATCTTGTGAGTGGCTGTCTGCACTCATATAATAAAAGGTGCTAAATGTACTGCACCATTGGAGTTTTTACCTTTTATTCTTTCATGCCCATTGTATCTGAGGGAGAGGAGCAAGGAGGATTGTGGATATGCTGATATGGTCACATTCCCTTCCCATTTGGAGTTTTTCAAAGCGACATATGCCGACTCTGGAGACAATGATGTAAAGGTGGACCCTGATGTATTGGTGGGGACTCTAGGGACCCTGATGTAAGTGGTAGGGACTATGAGGACCCGGATTTAAGGAGGGGGGCTCTGGGGGACCATGATGTAAAGGAAATGCCTATGGGGACCCTGATGTAAGGTGGGGGGGAATCTGGAGACCATGATGTGAAGGACTGACTCTGATGTATTTGGGGGGGGGGGGGGGGATCCTAATGTAAGGAGGGAGGACTCTGGGAAACCAAATTTAAGGAGGGGGCTCTGGGGGACCCTGATATAAGGGGATGGGCTATGGGGACTCTGATGCACATAGGTGAAGGGACTCTGGAGACCATGATTTAAAGGAAGATGCTGATTTATTGGGGGGGTATGGACCACAATGTTGAGGGGGGACTCGAGGGACCCTGATTTAAGGAGGGGGAACTTGGGGACCCTGATGCAAGGGGAGGGGTTTTGGGGACTCTCTCCTGTATCCTGTCTGCAGTCTCTGACCGTCTCCTGATCCCTGTTCTCAGTCTCTGACCGTCTGCTGGGGTGGAGCTCTAATATGAAGGGGTGGAGCCTAAAGTGGAAGGGGTGGAGTTTACATATTAAGGAGTGGGCCCTAAACAGGAAGGGGTGGATCAAATTTAGATGGGGGGGGCGCAATTTTAGTCTTGCCTAGGGCAGCACAAAATCAAAATACACCACTGGTTCACACCACTATGTTGCAGTGGTGTGCAGTAAAAAAAAAAAAAAGTAATGCGTGCAATCCACTCCTCGCATGGAGTGACAGCCAACTGAACCTTATGAAAAATGAGTCTGTGACATTACAATCAATTTCTTATAAATGTAAAAAAAAAGTGAGCTGTGCTGACCCGGCCAGACCACACAGCACACCAATCGTTGCACTGTAATGCAGCGGCTGTGTGAACATACCTCTAGTATAGATGTGTCCCTTGTGCTGATTTTTCTTAATTTAGGAGAAATTTTTTCATCTTTCCAACACCCCCCCCCCCCCCCCCCCTTCAGTAATCTTCAGGTGCGGAGGTTAATACAACTGATCAGTTCTAAGGAGGTCTCTTCAAGACAGCTCAACTATACCTGGCCTTTCCTGACAGATCCACCTTACTACAGCTTCTATGAATGACACAGGATCTAGGAATGGAAGGGGCAGAGGCTGGGGAAGGAAAGACAAAAATTTCTGCTAATCCAAAAAGAATCAGCACAAGGGACACATCCTGCTAAATGTAAGTTATGTTCCCTGTGCTGATTTTTATGTTCACAATTTAGGCTAAACTTAAGCTTTAACAGTTACAGATTTGGGGGCCAACTCTATATACACAGGGTCGCAATTACTACATATATGGGCAGCACAGTGGCTAAATGGTTAGCACTTCCGCCTGGCAGTACTCGGGTCGTCAGTTTGAATCGCAACCACAGCACCACCTGCCTGGAGTTTGCATGTTCTCTCTGTGCCTGCGTGGGTTTCCTCCGGGTACTCCAGTTTCCTCCCACACTCCAAAGACATGCTGGTAGGTTAATTGGCTCCTGTCTAAATTGGCCCTAGTATGTGTATGTATGAATGTGAGAGACTTTAGATCGTATGCCCCTTGAGGGTTAGGGACTGATGTGAATGTACAATATATATGTAAAGTGCTGCGTAAATTGACGCCGCTATATAAGTACCTGTAATAAATAAATATTTCAATATATATTTGCTTGTCAGGAGTCCAGCTTTAAAATGGTATCTCAGTTAGCCTAAAGGAGTTGTTCTTGAAGCATGACGTTACCTGAAATTGCCTTTGCCATCATCTTCCTTCACCTCTAGAGACACCATGAAGGTGAACACATCACTGTCTGGGGTGGGGAGGGTGGAATCCTTCACATCTGATGTCTGCTTACATGACCTCTTGAAAGCTGTGTAAAAGCTGTACAATATTCTGCTCACCTAGAGAGAGACCAGAAAAGAAGAACATAATTTATCATCAAGCAAAAGTAACACATTCAGTTAACTGAGATAACCAATGAGGGGTTACTGAACTCTGCATTAGATCAATCTCTTAGGCCTCACAGGATTAGACTTCATTAAGTATTCATTTACAGAGTACTAGATAACATATAAAGTGCAAATTTTGCACTTTAAACACCTTAATTACTTTCTGAATTGCTGTACTTTGTGTTTCTTGCAAGCATACAGATTTATAAAGGAGTAAATAATTATATCACTTAGAAGTTGTATTAGCTCCATCATCTCGCTAAATTGTACAAATTCTGATACATTCTGATTATAGAACATCTTTAGATCTACTGGCAACTATGCAGAACATGGATCCTACATAACTTGATGCAAATTCAATTGATTGTAATATTTATGGTGAGCCTTAGATTTACCAATTTGACTACATGACCTCTGTACAAAACCTTTTAGATCTGCTGAATTTATGCAATATGAGGACCTATCTAAACTATCCAATGAATTTGTATCCAATCGGGAATGCCCTTGCACTACATACTTGATGGTAGATCTAAAGGAGATTGTACAACCAGATTGTAATGTGTGTGGAGCTTAAAAGTTAAACGCTCAAAAGATTGTACAATCAGACTGTGACAGGCTTTGCCGGTTTAAAGTGATCCTGCATGTGTTTAGCAATGCCTCTCTCCTATCAACATACACTATATTGCAAAGAGTACTGGGACACCCCTCGAAATCATTGTATTCAGGTGTTCCAATCATCTCCATGGCCACAGGTGTATAAAATCAAGCCCCTAGGCATGCAGACCGCTTCAACAAACATTTGTGAAAGAATGGGTCGCTCTCAGGAGCTCAGTGAATTCAAGCGTGGTACCGTGATAGGTTGCCACCTGTGCAATAAGTCCATCCGTGACATTTCCTTGTTACTAAATATTCCACAGTCAACTGTTAGTGGTATTATAACAAATTGGAAGTAACTGGGAACAACAGCAATTCAGCCACGAAGTGGTAGGCCACATAAAATGACGGAGCGGGGTCATTGCATACTGAAGCGCACAAAAGTCGCCAACTATCTGCAGAGTCAATAGCTAAAGACCTCCAAACTTCATGCGGCCTTCAGATTAGCACAACAGTGTATAGAGGGCTTCTTGAAATGGGTTTCCATGGCCGAGCAGCTGCATCAAAGCCTTACATCCCCAAGTGCAATGCAAAGCATTGGATACAGAGGTGTAAAGCAGCCACCAACAGACTCTAGAGCACTGGAGACAAGTTCTCTAGAGTGACGAATCACGCTTCTCTGTCTGGCAATCTAATGGACATGTCTGGGTTTGTCGGTTGCGAAAAGAACGGTACTTGCCTCACTGCATTGTGCCAAATGTAAAATTTGGTGGAGGGGGGATTATGGTGTGGGGTTGTTCTTCAGGGGTTGGGCTTGGCCCCCTAGTTCCAGTGAAGGGAACTCTTAAGGCTTTCGAATACCAAGACATTTTGGACAATTTCACGCTCCCAACTTTGTGGGAACAGTTTGGGGATGGTCCCTTCCTGTTCCAACATGACTGCACACCAGTGCACAAAGCAAGGTCCATAAAGACATGGATAAGCAAGTTTGGGTTGGAGGAACTTGACTGGCCTGCACAGAGTCCTGACTTCAACCCGAAAGAACACCTTTGGGATAAATTAGAGCGGAGACTGTGAGCCAGGCCTTCTCATCCGACATCAGTGCCTGACCTCACAAATGTACTTCTGGAAGAATGGTCAAACATTCCCATAGACACACTCCTAAACCTTGTGGACATCCTTCCCAGAAGAGTTGAAGCTGTTATAGCTGCAAATGGTGGGCCAACTCAATATTGAAGCCTACGGACTAAGACTGGGATGTCATTAAAGATCATGTGCGATTAAAGGCAGGTGTCCCAATACTTTTGGCAATATAGTGCATCTGTGCAGCTACTAACTCCTAAAAATAAATAGTACAACACGAGTAAATTAAAACATACTTAGTTGATGCTAAACTCTAAAGCTGGCCATTCATGGATCGAAATTCAGCCGGTCCAGCAGGAACCAGACAAATTTCAATCCATGTGCGGCCACTGTGGTTAAACAGAAGTCGATCTACCGATAGACTTCTATTCAACTGCCCTGTCAGTACTGTTTCGCTCAATCAACCCTGCAGGCAATAGGCTGCTGCACTGATCTGTGTATTTGGGTTCAATCTATTTTGTGTATTTAAACCTGCTAGTACATCTAACACTCTCCTCCCCCCAGACTGAAAATGCTGCTGTCCAAATGTGCCCCCTGTGCTCCATCTATAGTGGGGGCAATCTAATACAGGAGGTATGTTACAGGCCAGATAAACAGGTGAAAACAGAGGAAAAAAAGCCTCCACATCTAATGATTGGTAAGCTGTAATATATTACATTTTTTTGATTTGGGTTTAATACTGCTTTAAAAAACTGGAGCGCTCTGGCCTGTTCTTGGTTGGGAAAAAATGAATGTTAATAAAATGAAAAGTGTTCCTAGACTGTTATTCATCTTTGAATTTACAACACGGAGTATCCCTTTTAAATTTATATGCACTGCCCAAAACCTTAATAACAAATTTATATGGAATATCGAAAAAGGCATGGATCTCGCAAGCTATCTTAATTAAACTGAAAATAGATGATGACCTAGTACTGTCATATCTTACTGCAGCCTCCAACTCATACTAATGACTGGATGTATGCCAGATCAACTAAAAAACTGGTGGCTCTTGAGGCATACGAAAGTGTTTGTAAAGGCTGAAGTTTTTTTTACCTTCATGCATTCTATGCATGAAGGTAAAAAAACCTTCTGTGTGCTGCTCCTTCTCAGCACCTCTGAATACCTACCTGAGCCCCTCGCTCCAGCAATGTGCATGAGAGCCTTGGCTGTCCCACGTCTCTCTCACCCCATTAGATGAGACAGCAACAGCAGCCATTGACTCCCACTGCTGTCAATCACAGCCAGGGAGCCAATGAGTAGAGGACAGAGGCGGCAGGGCAGAGCCGAGGCTCTATGCATCTTATGGGCGCATAGAGCCAGACTCAGGAGTGAGCAAGCACCAGTGCCCCCACAGCAAGCGGCTTGCTAGTGGGGCACTGATTAAAGGGGAGGAGCCAGGAGAAGCCAAGAAGAAGAAGATCAAGGCTAAAACTACTGCACAGAGCAGGTAAGTATGAGAGTTTTTTTTTTTTTGGGGGGGGGGGGGGTTGAACCTTTAAATATCACTCGTGCTCTGGACGCTTAAAGAAGACATAATTTGATTGGTTTACATATTTGATGCAGCAGTTTAGATTATGTTTATTGGCGAAGTGCAGAGTTTTTGGAGTAAAGTACTCTTTAAGCAATGTTATTGAAAAACTCTGCAGAGAACACACGTCTTTTTGTTTAGTTCTCGGTCACCATACAGTATGGAAAAACACTGTGAAGCAGCAACACTTTTTTTTCACATCTCAATTTTGTTCACAGATAAATGACTTAAATGTCATGACTATTGTGAGCAATCTCTTCTCAGACAGACTTGTATTACAGAATTATCTGCTGGAAATTGCACAACAAATGAATCATAATGATCGCTGTAAAAACCTTTATAGCATAATCAGTTTTCAAGCAATGGGGGGCGGGCAGACTTGAAGCCGTTTTTTTTTGCCGTGAACGGGAAAAATCACTTAACCCAAACACTTTAACCAAAAACTTTGTTGCACATGTTCATGTAAGGCCTATCCACTTTCCTAGAGTTACAACACTTACTACAGCTTAGCCACAGCGTAGTCACCATTTCTCAAGCACCCAGCTTTGGAGAACAAGGAACCATGCCAATGTGCTGGCACATTATGCCATGGACATTGCACTAGAATGTGGTGTGGGAAATCCGTGTTTCGTGCTGGTTTCCCGCATTGCTTTCTTCGATCTGTAGCGGGTGTCAGTGCAATGCTAATGACACCCCAAATGCAAGCCGCAAATGCAGTGAGTTTGCCCGCACCAGATCACATGGTTGAAAAGTACCATATGATCCAGTTGCAGTGCATTTCCAAAAGTAGTGCATGTTGGTGTGGTACAATTTCAGCCCATTGAAAATTATTGGGCTGAAACTGCATGTGAATCCACTCCTACATAAGGCCCTTGTGAAAAAGTCCAGGAAGTGACGAAACACGTCAGGACACGTGACGTCTGACGCACTCACGCGGAAACCAGAAGTGTCATCGTGGCCATTTGAAAGTGGGCATATGTTTTTTTCCTGCACCAGGAGAACAGAAAAACTTCTCTGTGTGTAGGAGTGGATTTCTACTGACTGCTATGGTCGTTTGCTACAAACCTTAATGTAAGAGTTTATTAAATGTCTTTATACTTTGATAAATATGCATTTTGAGTCTCCTATTTTACATTTATGAGGATTATGAAGGATTAACCACAGGAGTGTTGGAAAGCTGGGAAGTGGTACTAACTGACCAAGTATATCCTGCAAGGCTTGTTATTACTCCCTGAGTGTAATTATTCAATTTACACTAGTTTGAGGTGATCACGGTCTCTCACCGTGTGAATTGGAGTGTTCACGATTACTGACTGGGTGTATAATATATATTTTGATTTAGGAATTTATATATTTTTTTTTTGTGTGCTGTGTGTTTTTCACTTGTGCTTATAGTGTACACGATATGCCGTTTGCATGATATACTTGTTTGCTCACAGCCATATTTATATTTTGGTGCACTTATATTTGCACAGATATTGTATTTTTATGTTTTAGGATTTATTTTTAGAAGGTAATACACTATTATAGTTTTATTTCTTTGAGATTCACGAAGAGTGATAAGAGGATTAGAATTTCATCTCAGGATTTAAAT